AAGCAACAAATTCTAATTAAGGTAGAAAAAAAAGCTGTTTCTCAATAGATCTGCACAAGCAGGGGGAGCAGCACCAACTATTTACACCAACTATTTACTATTTACAGATTGGATGGATTTCTATGTTACAGTGATGTGAGTATCACATGGTAGTTACCGAAGACATTTGCATTAAGGAACCATCAATATTCCTAATTTACAGATTGCACAGAAGACACCATGAAAAATCACCATATGTGCCCTGAAATGACCCGACATTCTCCGCTCTCAGTCCGAAGGTGTCATTACAAACCTATCTTCTCTCAGAACTGCTCTATTTTTATTTCTAGTGTCCATCACTGCTTTGTGAGACTGTCACTGCTCCTCATTTAACGTGGTTTCATCACAAACCTCCTCAGCTGCGGTTTCCATTGTGAATTTTAGCTAAAACACAACTTAAAGGAATACTTTGTGTAATTACATATGACCACACAACATAACAGTCCTTTATTTTTTTATTTTCAACAATCAATAGCAAACCAAGCTTCAAGACACAGAAGGAAGGCATGATATTGATGTTTTGCCTAATACTCATAGAATCATAGAATGGCTCGGGTTGAAAAGGACCACAATAATCACTTAGTTTCAACCCCCCTGCTATGTGCAGGGTCACCAACCAGCAGAGCAGGCTCCCAGAGCTACATCCAGTCTGGACTTGAATGCCTCCAGGGATGGGGCATCCACAATCTCCTTGGGCAACCTGTTCCAGTGTGTCACTACCCTCTGAGATCCCCATGTCCCAAATCATTCCCCACATTGAACTATACTGAAGACCACTACAGCCTGCTGGCTGGCCATAAGGCCTCACCTCTATCAAACATCAAATTATGAAAGCAACAGAAACGAGCTAGAACCATCAGAAATAGAATGATTTGCTTTGTAAAACTGCTTTGAAAAGAATTTTTAAAAGACTGCACCCATTTGAAGCATCCTGAGCAAATCCCAAACCTTGTTGTGTATTACCAAACAAACTCTTACAGTTCCCTGGAGATACTTCCTCTGATGGCAGGGTTCATCATCAGATGTCTCACAGCAAGGGAATAAAACCATCAAAACTTTAAATTTAGGATAAATACTCAAACATCCGTAGCTTGTGATGCAAAGAATTCTCTGTTTGCAGGGGATAATTTCAGCTAGCAGCCTACCTATGTAAACATACCTAAACACTGCACTGCAAAGCACGAGATCCAGATTCGGCTGTGTTGCAGAGACAGGAATGTAGAAGTGATGCTGAAATGACACCAGGGCAAAGTTCCCTCATGCTACTCCATTACCATTTAGGGAGCATATAAACAGAAGGGGGAACAACTGTTTACAAGGGTGGATAGTGATAGGACAAGGGGGAAGGTTTTAAACTGAGACAGGGAAGGTTTAGGTTAGATATTAGGAGGAAGTTTTTCACACAGAGAGTAGTGATGAACTGGAACAGCTTGCCCAAGGAGGCTGTGGATGCCCCATCCCTGGAGGCGTTCAAGGCCAGGCTGGATGTGGCTCTGGGCAGCCTGGTCTGGTGGTTGGCAACCCTGCACACAGCAGGGGGGTTGAAACTCAATGATCATTGTGGTCCTTTTCAATGCAGGCCATTCTATGATTCATTTCAGGGACACAGCATGGCGGGCACTGTGAAGATGGGTTGACCATCGGAATAGATGGTCCAACCTTTTCCAACCTCAGTGATTCTATGAATCTGTGTGATTCATGCTTTGCTTTGCACAACCACCACCAGGGCAGTGCAAATCCAAACAAACAGCCAAGGAATGTGGTTTTGCCAAGGAACCTGCAGCCAGGGGCAACTCCAAGCTGGCTAAGAGAGGGCAGGATGGGAACAGCTAAATATTTTGTACAAGCATTGGTGCATAGCAATGAAGTGCAATCTACCACAAGGAAGCAAAAAACACAGGAAATAAAGGAGAAATATTTATTTTAGGCAGGATTTGTGCTCTCTGCTTACTCTTTTCCTAAATGAGTAATCAAGACGTTACTTGGCTCTAAACACTATGGGGGAATAAAATGTCACCATTGCAGCTGCCAAATTTCCCGCTCGCAGCCCTTCAAATTAAGGAAAAAAAATGAATATGAATGTACAATTTGATTAGTGAAAAGTCCAAATCTTTGCCCAAAGCCTGGTTCTTCCTGTAACATCACATTCTTTTCTTCTTGTGTAAACTTCTCATTATAACAGAGACATCTTCATAATATAATAATTCTGGTTATAATGTAACTGTGGGTAACATAACTCCTACATTAGAAAAGGCAGCATGCCCTAGTAATGTTGTTTTAATGTAATTTGTGTACTGCAGGAACTGGCTGAAGCTGGTCATTTAGAATTTGATCAATGTGAATTAGTGTCTTAAAGAGATGAACCATTTGATAATTCAGAATTTGATCAATGTGTATCAGGACCCCACGGAGATAAAACATTTATCATGAACATTTGGAATATCAGTCTAATCCAGGCAGCGCTGCAGAAGGTAATAAACAGGCATCAATAAGGTCTGCAGACAAAGTACAGAAGAGCTGTCATTTCTCGGATACAAAACCTATATGGGATATTTGCTTATTCCCCTTCAATGGACTAAACTAACCCTGATGAGTGATGAAGCCACAGCTGACGTAATTTCAAGGACTAAATGGAGGAAGGAAAGGAAAATCCAGGAAATATTTAAGTAATTAACCACAACACTTTGCTCTTGAAAGAGATACAGTTTAAATAGTTGTAGTAATACAAGTTATCTCAATAACAGCTAGTAACTCACTGCATAGCAGATGCTTAAAAAGGAGACTTTTATAATAATTCCACAATTAGATCTATTAGTCTCTCACTTAGAACCTGAAATCACACTGACACGCAGCACACTGGTTTATGCATTAACAAAATTTAGCAGTTCAACCTTATTTAATTCTCCTTTTACAGCCAATTAAACAAGCTCTTTAAACACCCCTGCCTGAAACTCTGTCCACAATCCTCACATGCAATTAAACTGAACATGAGAAGTGCCTGGCGACGCCGAAAGAGCATCATCTTTAGGTCTCACTAAATCATTCATAATTTATCCATCAAGCTACACACAAAAGGCTAAAATTACGTCTGCTGAATTTAAACCTTCAGTAAAAAAGACATGCCATTTAGAAGGATTTTACACAAGCAAGAATTTAAAATGGCACAGTAACGTAGAGATTTTATGCCGTTCATCAAATCTATTCCAATTTATGTCCATATTTCAGATATCTTTTCTTTCTGATAACATTTTCCTTTTGTATTTAATGCAACGAATCAAAATCAGATCCACTCATCTGAAAGCTCCAAATAATTTTAAAGAAAAATTGGCTTGAAGTGCAAAGGAAGCACTGCAGTTTCAGTACTGGGACTGCAATGAAGACTGGTCAAATAGCTGTTACCTATTGTGTTCAAGAAATGCTTGGATGCTGTACTGAGGGCCATGGATTAGTGGGAAATATTGGTGATAGGTGGATGGTTGAACTGGATGATCTCGGAGGACGTTTCCAACCTTGATGATTCTATGATACTAGTAAATCTAGTACCTAGAAAATGAAGAACTGACCAATTTGCTCAACTGATAGGAATCTCCAATTATCAAAGCCCTCTCTGTTAAATACTCTTTCCTTTATGCAGATAGATTGAAGCATTTTTCAAAATGGCTTTCTTAAAATGTGTAGCTGTTGTTCAACACTGACTGGTCCCTTAGCCAGTTCTCTGTGTGCAAAAAGAACCCAAAAGCATTTGATTTATTCAGGAAATTGATTATATACCAGGGAAAAATAAACAGATTTAAAAAAGTTTCCTACCTCTGGCCATAACAACATAAAGCTATCAACTACCATTTCAAATAACAATAACGTCTCATTTTGAAATTGTACAAGGCAGATTAGGCAATAATTAAGATTTAAAAACATGAAAGTAACAGAACATAACAAGGGAAGGAAAAATACCCCCCTTGATGGGGTTCTTACACAGATGAAAATAGTGACAATGAATGACAACGTACCAGGCTTCCCATCTGTAACAGAGAGACCTCCAAATTATGTTAAAATCACACCAGTGTCAATGGTCATTCTGTCCCTCTTACTTAAGGGACATACGAATTCAGTCCTCAGTTATATGAACTCCACATCATTAACCAGCACAAATATTTCACATACACACTTGAGAATATTAGCAACTCCTCATATTAAAATGATTTTATCTTACAGTTAAGAAGTTTCCATCACTATCAGCAGCTCAAGAAAAACCTTTTCTCCTCTTTCTCATCAAAGAGAGAAACAAAACAAAATCAAAAGCACAACGAAAACCCTCCAGAAACCTAAAAACAGGAACAAAATAATTCCCTTTGCACAGCATTTCTTGGTTACTGCTGAGACTATAAGGTTGTATGAAGTTCTCTTTGTATCCTCATTGAAATGATAAATGGAACCTTCTACCTAATGGATGAACTAGCAAAAAGGGAAGAGTCCAAGGCTAAGGGTCAGAGTCACTTTGATACATCAATTACTGCATCTTCATTTAACCATCCTCAGGACTAATAAAATTTATTTAATTTGACCTTCACTGGTAGGGGCAAAGTGAAGTTGCTAATTTAATCCTTTCACATCATGCAAGCACAGGATGAATACTATTGTAATGCAAAGTTGGAATTACATTTTTGTTGTCCCAGTAGAGAAAAAAAATGTTAAAGAATATATTTTTAGGATACTTCACACATCTTATCAAATACAGCTTAATTAGGACATTACTAACTGTGCATTTAATTCCTATGCAGCTTATGGTTACTATGCACTGGCCTCCAAATTCTTCAAAATTCTCTCATCTGAACAACCAGCATTTTTTCCAACACAGAATGATAGGATCTGTGATAGCAGAAATGGGAGTTACTATTCATTTTAAAATGGATAAGAATTCATCAGCTTGCCAGGCTCAAACACAAAAGGCAGAAAAGACTTACTTGAACCGGGCTGACACTTCGTCGGCAGCTTTCTGGTATTGCTCTGTGGTTACTTTGTAGAATTGGGCACTCTGTAAAGTTAAAAAAGGAAAGAAAAAAAAAAAGTTAATAATACAGTTTTCACATAACATCTGTTATATACATGTGAACACCTGGTAAGTAACATTAATTTAGATATTTCACACATTTCAGCTGCTCAAAACCAAACCACCAGCAAAAAGGAAACAAACATACAATGACAACAACCCAAGAGCCCTCATCTCTACTATACTACAAAACTCCACAGACTTTTTGTTAAGTGTGTCCTCTTGGCTCTGGAAGGTTCTGCAAAAGAGATGACTTTCAATAAGGAAACTGAAGAGAGACAGGGTACAAATCACGCAGTTAAGCACTAGGAAATATTGCAACCTGTGAAACTTCTCCACTAGGAAAAAAAATCAAAATATTGAATCCTTACTTCTTTGTATGCTTCTCTTTGTGTTACTTCCACATACATCCCCATCTAGTTTGCACACGATACTGATGTCAGGCTCCAAGGTTGAACAATAAATTAACCACAGCTTGACTCTTCCTTTTGCTCTTTGCCTTGACAATGCCTCTTGCAGAAAGTTAATTTAATTTTCCACATTTCCAAGTCACTTCAACCACTTCACAGAATCATAGAATGGCTTCGGTTGGAAGGGACCTCAACGATCATGAAGGTTCAACCCCCCTGCTGCAGGCAGGGCCACCAACTTCCACATTTAATACCAGACCAGGCTGCCCAAGGCCTCATCCAATCTGGCCTTGAACACCTCCAGGGATGGACTGGGCATCCACAACGTCTCTGGGCAGCTGTTCCAGCACCTCACCACTCTCACAGTAAACAACTTCCCCCTGACATCCAACCTAAATCTTCTCTCCCTCAACTTCAAAGCATTTCCCCTTGTCCTGCTGTTATCTATCCTTTCAAAGAGTTGACCCCTCTGCTGTTTGTAGGCTCCCTTTATGTACTGAAAGGCTGCAATGAGGTCACCCCTCAGCCTTCTTTTCTCCAGGCTGAACAAGCCCAACTCCCCGTCTTCATAGGGGAGGTGCTCCAGTCCTCTGATCATCTTCGTGGCCCTCCTCTGGACCCTCTCCAACAGCTCCCTGTCTTTCTTATATTGGGTGCCCCGGATCTGAATGTGTTAATGCAGATGCAGCCTCACGAGGGCAGAGAAGGGAGGGACAATCACCTCCCTGTCCCTGCTGGCCACTCCTCTTCTGATGGAACCCAAGTTGCCATTTGCTTTCTGAGCTGCAAGAGCACACTGCTGGCTCATATTAAGTTTTTTATCCACCAGGTCCTCTTATGCAGGGCTACTCTCAAGGACTGTTCCTTCCAGTCTGTATATATGCCTGGGATTCCTCCGGATGAAGTGCAAAACTATGCACGTGCAAATGATCATTTTCCAAAATGCAGGTCAGACAAAATTGAGTCATCAAGCAGTAAAACTTTTCTATACATGAAAATGACTAAATTTCTCAGTGGGACATACAATATTCAAAGACAAATCACTATAATGTTGTGATGCTTCATGTCTGGATAATATATACCTGGTATTTTTAAAGAGATTTTTATAGACCTAGCACAGTTGGACTTAAGATGTAATAGCAAAGGCACCTGGCTTCACAGTTGGAGGAATGATGAAAAGTTAAAGCAGTTCAAAAGTTCTCTGAAACATTATTTTTCTGTGAATGGAGGAGCCAACAGGAGAAACAATGCTGTGGAGAAGCACGAAGGTTTTTTTGGCACTTGCAAGATCCCCTTCTTAGCATTGCAACTCTCGAGTCATCTGGCATCCCAGGAAGGCACGTTAACATGGCAACAAAACTCTTACAATTACACGCTGTGTGATTACTGAAAAAGCCTTTTGAATCCCTATTTTAACAACCCACCTATTAATGCTACGGTTTAAAGTTATTCATTCCTTAACACGATTGTGCTTCTTTGGAGCATTTAGCATACATGCATGGAACAATGCAGTCCAGGGAAGTGTCATTCCAGTTCTATTTTGGGTAAAGCAAGCGCTTTAAGTTATTTACTGAAGACACTGAAAAAGCAATGTGCCTAAAACACTGCCAGAAAATAAGCAAAAAAGCCCTTTAAGTGGAAAGATCACTCTTTTGCAAGTGCTGAAGATGACAGTCTCCTCGATCACTAAGTTAGCAAACATGTCCTGAACAAAATGTACTTGTGCCTAATTGGGTTATGAGAAATGCAGGGAAGAAAGCCCACTATGGTATAAACATCTGATGGAAAAACTACAAAACATGCAGCGCTATCTAGAAAAATAAAAACACTTTCTCTTTCCACTTGAGGAAATCACCTTCCAAGGTCCTTCCATTTGAATGATGAACTTGATACGTACAGAAATCACCGACAATAACACCAACTCTGAACACGGCTACAATTGCATCGCCAGGCCAATATTTTACTGCAAATGATAACAAATCATGCAGCGTCTCCCATGGTCAAAGGGCACGCACGGATCACAAAGAGCACGGTGGTCTGCTGCAGCCCTGCTTCTGAGCTTCAGACTTAATCATTCATTTGTACCGAAATCAAGGCTTCCACGCATGCGACTCGGGGTCATTTATTTTTTCATAAATCACTGCTGGCCAGTAAGAAAATGAAAATGAAATCCTCCTCACACCAGTGACCCCCTCGCGTTTGGCAATCCCAGCTGCCCAATGACAGCCGTTGTCCAGGTTCCTTGGACATAGATGCAATCAATAGGGATGTGATTAGACAGCAGGCTGACTGCGGGACGAGTGCGGACAGGTCACCATTTGAGATGATGAATAGCTCTCTATCATCCTACAGTCCCCTACGAGGCTAACATTTACTATAATCTTATTTGGGTTGCGATTTGTCTTTCTTTGGCCTGATCAATAAAGATGAACACAACAGTTGTAAGGATCGATTGCAATTTTTTATCATTTTCAAGCATGAAGGAGCGTTTTTGACACAAAAACAATATTTTGAGTGTACTTGTTCTACTTTTTAATTGCAGTTCAAGTGATCAGCTGAGCTGCTATATATGCCAAGAAGTTTTCAATCCTACAGTAGGCTCAAGCTATCAAGAAATCATTTGTTATCTTAGATAAAGTGTGCCGTGTTTCTCAGATAAGATCTTCCTTTGAAAGTCATTCAGTCTCTCTTTCAGAGAGATATTCTCTATAACCCAGAGAGGAAATATCATTTCAGAAGTCCTCTCTAATCCTCCAGATAAGAATGCAGCGAGCATTCTTCTAAACACAGAACACATGGTGGTATAACACAGACTGCTAACACAGGTAATTTCCCCAGTCTCTGTATTTATGTTGTGGATGTAGTCCGAATATGCATGGACTGCTCAACACCAAGTGCAAGATAAAAGCTACACTCCAATTCAGATATTAGCAGCAGTGGCAGATTATCAGAATAACTTCGGATTAGAATCATAGAATCACAGAATCATAGAATGGCCTGGGTTGAAAAAGGATCACGGTGATCATCTAATTTTAACCTCCCTGCTATGTGTAGAGTCACCAACCACCAGACCAAGCTGCCCAGAGCCACATCCAGCCTGGCCTTGAATGCCTCCAGGGATGGGATATCCATAACCTCCTTAGGCAACCTGTTCCAGTGCGTCACTACCCAGGTGAAAAACTTCTTCCTAATATCTAATCCAAACCTCTCCTGTTTCAGTTTAAAACCATTCCCCCTTGTCCTATCACTGTCCACCCTCGTAAACAGCCGTTTCCCCTCCTGTTCATATGCTCCCTTCAAATACTGGAAGGCCATGATGAGGTCTCCCTGGAGCCTTCTCTTCTCCAAGCTACATTCCACTTATATAGACAGATATCTAAAAAATATCTCTATAAATATGTTAAGAATATATTAAAAATACATAAGATGTTTCAGGTCATAAACGTGCCTTTCTTAAATATGTGGAATCTGCCTATCTGTATATTTCAAGGATTCTCTTAGCGATGCTACTGAAATGGTAGCAAACAATACAGCTGAATTCCTTATATCGTTGATTTGGGTCCCCTGGGAGTGCACATTATAAAACAATCTTTGCTTATAGAGTTATGCAGCATCTTCCTCTCATTTATACTTTTCTCCTCAGCTGTATAATAAAACCATGGCTTTCTACAGACCTTTATTATGGTCTTCTTTGTTGAAAGAAGTATGAAAGTGCAGGAATTATGTTATGAAAGAGGCGAGGAACCTCCAGAAGGGAACAAGAAATGTCAGGGTTATGGTAGTTAATCATCATCCCAGATTATGTGGAAGGTGCTATTTCTGCATCTGTTATGGAGTTCTTACACAGTGTGGGCATGTTGCTTGATATCAAAACAAAGTGGCAAATGTGGTTCTTGATGACTAAACTTCAGCTTGTTCAGAGAATCTAGTCTGATCACTGAGGATTCAGGCCAGCAGATCTCACACCTTACGGAATATGGAGAATAGCTTGAATTTCACTACCACTGCTGATACAAAGCAGGGCTCAGTAAATAGCTCAACATAGAGATTTAAGATTTAAGCTGCTGAAATAGGGGGAAATTAACCCTCAAACTAAGAATCCAAGTCATCCTTACCTCCCTCTTACAAGCTCAAATAGAACCTGGGATAATTTTGGTTTTAACCACCATGCATTTGTTATGTGTAAAAAAAAAAAAAAGCTTTAGCCTTAGGAATTAAGGAATTAAGGCATTTATTTTCAGTTCTTTATTACTGTGGAAATGATAACATGAAAGGTCTACCTCAATTTTGTGAAGTTTGAATGCTGTGAAATAAATAATGGATGCCATGCACACTGAGCGCTGTGTGTATTGATTACGTGGGATCATATGGGGGATTCACAGCAATTACATGAGCAGGTGTGGTCACACATTAGAGATCTGCATCAACTGCAGAAGCCCACCGCCTTTTATGCTTATGTTTTCCAACTTGCAAGCAAATAAACACAGTGTAGGAAACACGGCTTTGTTCCTCTGCTAATCCGCCTGGGTTTGTATGGCCAAAGGTTCTTGCTATGATAACAAAAATCAGAGCCAG